GGCTGATTTTTGATTTATTGTAGAGATGAGGTCTCGCTGCCCAGGCGGGTCTCGAACCCGCAGGCTCAGGCAATCCACTCACCTCAGCCTCCCAAAGGCGCGGGATGACAGGCTGAGCCACCGAGCCCGGCTAAATTTTTTTTTTTTAGTTGGAGTCTCAACTCTATCACCCAGGCTGGAGTGCGGTGGCGTGTTCACGGCCACCATAGCCTCGACCTGCTGGGTTCAGGCAATCCTTCCACCTCAGTCTTCCAAGTAGCTGGAATTACAGGCACGTGCCACCATGCCTGTCTAACTTTTTGATTTATTGTAGAGATGAGGTCTAGTCAAGTTGCCCAGGCGGGTCTCGAACCCGTGGGCTCAGGCAATCCACTCACCTCAGCCTCCCAAAGCACGGGATTACAGACTGAACCACCGAGCCCGGCTTGTGTGTGTTTTGAAAAAGTCTCAGAGCCAAGAAACCTGGGTCCTAGCCCCACTGAAACTGTGGGAACCTGGACATCAGTTTTCTTTTCTGTAAAATGGACTAGATTCATCCATCCCACAGATCTTCAGTGAGCACCTGCGGTGGCTCCACACTCACTCCACAATATTAATGAAGCGTTGGTGTCCTGAGGGTTTGGGGAGGCTCACAACAGTCTGTCATTGAGGAACCCGCAGTCTTGTAGGAGGAACAGCAGTGAAGTGAGCTGGAGGAATCAGCTGTGCCTGGGTCCAGGAGGACTTCATGGGGGAGGAAGACAAGGAAGCCTCGGTTAGCTGAGGGTGGTGGAGGAGACCCCACAGTGACCTTGGGTTGTGTTTGAGACTGAGCATGAACCAGGTTTCAGGAACTCCCATGATGGAGCTCCAGGGAAGGGAGACCAGGAAGGGCTGGGTGGTCTGGGAAGGCCCCCTGGAGGGGGCATGCTGGCCTGGGCCTCAGCAGGAGGGTTTAGGTGAGAACTGAGGGTATTAACAGTGTGATAACTTGTCCCAAGGGCATTTGCCTGGCTCCTCCAACCCAACAACCCATGGGAGTCCTAACAGCCTCCTTCACAGACAGAAAAGAGGCGCCTCGGACAGGTTCTAAAGGCAGCAACTGGCAGAGCCGGGACTCAGTTGGCCCTCGGTTGGCCCAGCTCCAAATCCACTCTCCTTCCACCAGCTCATATGAATTCATCCTGCCAGAAAGGGCCGTGTGGGCTGAAATGTCTGAGACTGGCAAAGAGGTCGTTTCAGGCTTGGGAATTACAAGGTGGTGGGGCGGGGGTGGCCTTACCAGACGAGCCACAGGGCTTGGATTATGGTGTGCAGACCCCATAACCGGAGCACAGGCTGGCAAGGGCTGGGCCCATAGGCCCCAGAGAACCCCCTAAGATACACAGGCTCGCCCTGACCAGGGGGGCTGTGGCTTCATGACACTCTCTACCATGCACTGGGGCCTGGGGCACACCGCAACTGTGGGAGTGTCATGTCCCCACAGCGGCCCCTGCCAAGCAGAAGGAGGCCTCGGTCTGGCTTCCTTGGGTTTCTGCGACACTGACCCGGTGACCTGGGTCTTTCTCCTTCCTGCTGCCCCCCTCCTGCTCCCCCAGGCATCTTCAAAATCGAGGACTCTGCCCAGGTGGCCCGGCTGTGGGGCATTCGCAAGAACCGTCCTGCCATGAACTACGACAAGCTGAGCCGCTCCATCCGCCAGTATTACAAGAAGGGCATCATCCGGAAGCCGGACATCTCTCAGCGCCTCGTCTACCAGTTTGTGCACCCCATCTGAGGGCTACGGGCCAGGCCCAGGCCCGGGGACTGCCCTCAGCAGGCCTCCTCCTGCCTGCCCCACCTCGGCCAGGCCCTGAGCTGGGAGAAAAGGTGGTGGGAGAGGGGGTGGCCCGCGGCTCCCAGGGTAGAAGCGAGCTCTCTGGGGCCCGGGGGGACCCTGGGGCCGGGGTGTGTCCTCCTCAGGCCTGACCACTCACAGGTTCAGACCCCTGAGCATGGAGGGAGCCAGGGCCACTGTCAGTGTTCACCGCTCCCCAGGAAAGGACTCCCCTCAGGGGGCCTCTGACCCCAGCATTGCCAAAGCAGAGCCTGCACTATGGCAGTGACTTGACCAAGGCTACTTGCAATCCAGTGCTCTCTCTGCCATGTCCCTTGCCTCCCAGTCTACACCGTGCCTGGCATGGTGCCGGAAGATGTCTGCACCCTGAGTTGGAGAGCCAGGGGTACCCCAGGAAGGCGTAATAAAGATACTCACCAACTGACATGTCCCCTGTTCTGTGTAGTGAATGACACAGCCTGGAGGCCATCAATGGTCAAAAGTAGTTATGGTCACAGGGGCCTGGGATGGTCAAGGGAGGCTTCCTGGGAGAGGTGGCACTGAGCTGAGCCTCAAGGGAAAGGGATAATTAACTGGGAGAGAGGCAGTGAGCTCTCAAAGCCAGGGGCAGGGGGCTGGAGCAACCACCTCATCTTCCCCACCCTGGTTTTTACAGAGAGGAGGGAGGCGGGCGGGGCTGAGAAGGCCCTACTCCAGGATCTAGAGGGGAGGCATCGCCACATCCTCTTGTTCTGCTGTAGAGCAGGGCTTTATGCCTGAGACCAGCCAAGGGCCTAGCACCCTTGTCTTTGCTCAATCAACTAAGGGAGCTGGACTGCATGGCAGGGCACAGGAGAGGGTGGTCCCCTGGGGGCACACTGGCTTTGCAGCCAGCAGCCGGAGGAGAGGCTGGCTCCTTTTCAGTTTCTCTCTCCCGAAGACCTCAGCAGGCCTATCAAGCTGCGCGCTCCTGTGAGCCAGTGTGAGAGCCGCCAACACTGATGGGGTCAGCACGTATGATGGGGGAGACCAGGACCCCGGCCCACTCTCCCGGGCAGAGTCTTTCACACAACTTCTCATACTTTCTTCATGCTTCTCCAGCAACTCACGTGCCCCGAGGGCCGACTGTGTGCTAGGTGCTCTCACTGCTTCTTTGACATTGACCTTCCCAACAAAACTACGAGGGAGGGATTACTCCCCCATCAGCAGAAGATGAAACTGAGGCTCAGAAAATGAACCCACACCCGTCTCTCCTCCAGGACAGGGCGCTCTCTGCCCCGTCAGACCTCCTGCTTCTTGACTGGCTGGCACCCTTGGTACTTAATGACCCTTCCCCTCTGAGGCCAGGCTTCCAGGCAACAGGAGAGGGTAGGAGCCACGCCACCCAGACCACCAAGGGTTAAACAAGGCCTGTACTGCTGCCTTCTGCTCCCAGCAATTTTATTGTCTTCAGAAGAAAGTTTGCTCCTGGCAGTTAGCAAACAGCACCTTGGCATCTGTCAACTGGGATTGGACTGGGAGGAGGAGGGGCCCTGCCTCAGGCCTGTGCCTCACTGAGCCCTGTCTGTCTCCCACCCCCTGGGAGGGGGCAGACTGGGACCCTGGCCAGAGCCAGGCTCTGCTCTGTTGAACTGGTTTAGTCTCCAGTCAGTCAGCCCTGTGCCCAACTGAGTCCCTGGAGTCACTTTCATGAATGTCCCCTGTTGGGCCTGGGCTGGGAAAGGCCTCAGATCTCAGGCAGAGGCTGGGAAGGAGGACCGGTGAGAAGATTAGAGCATAGGCGTCTGACCTGGAGCGGCTCCAGCAAGGAGGGGTGGGTGGTATGGGAGCCAGATGGGCATCTCTTGCCCATGAGCCTTTGGCAGGCACACACCCATCCGGCGACACCCAGCGAGCTGGTGGCAATCTGCAATCCCTCCTCCTCCTCCTCACGCCTGCCCATAAGAACCCGGCCTGGCTGGGTATTCCTGACCTCTCTCCAAGACCCTGCCCAAGGCCTCCCCATAACGAAATACAACAGCCTGTGCAGAAAAGACAACACAACCTCTCGTTTTTATTTGAAGATTCCTCTGTTTGGCTAAAACCAGGGATTCCAATGGAGGTGGGTTTGAGAGACTAAGGGACACAGGGTGGCAACTAGATTCAGTCCCCGTCTTGACCTTGCTCCCTGCTCTGGGCATACCCTGAGGCTGGGAGAAGTGATGAGGGGACTGCAGTATATTTGCCTTGAGTAATAGGTGTGTGTCAGGGCCCTGTCAGGCTGCCAGGGCCAGAGGGGCCTCAGAGAGACATCTTGCCAGATGGGGGAAGCCAAAGCCTGGGTGGGGGTGGGAACACAGTGAGCTGAGGGTAGGACTGGACCTGGGACCCCTGTCTGCTCCAAAAGGGATCGCTGGGGCGGGGGTGCAGCTGGAATCAGGGTGCTGGAACAGGGTGCTGAAACAGCTGAGAGTTCAGAGCTCTAGTCCTGCTCACGTCCCTGAGAAATTCTCCTGTAGAAGCCCTCTCAAGGGTCCCACACAGAAATGGTTTCAGAGTCAGGAAGGACACAGGAGAGTGTAATGTGGCCTGACGTCACACCACAGGAAGCTTGGCACTATAGGTGACCAGGAACCACGGGCCTCAGAATTCTGCTCTGAAAATAAACGTTGACTGGACACAGTGGCTCACACCTGTAATTCCAGCACTTTGGAAGGCCAAGGCAGGAGGACTGCTAGAGCCCAGGAGTTCAAGACCAGCCTGGGCAACATAGTGAGACCTCAACTCTACAAAAAAAATTTTTAAAGTCAGTGTGGTGGCACGTGCCTGCAGTCCTAGCTATTTGGAAGGTTGGGTGGGAGAACTGCCTGAGCCGAGGACACTGAGGCTACAGTGAGCCATGATTGTGCCACTGCACTCCAACCTGGGCAACAGAGTATGATCCTGACTCTAAATAAATAAATAAAATCAAAACTGGGCCCATGTTCACCCTTGAACCATACATGTGGGGCCCTAAATGTCCCAGTTCTCCTGGTCAGGGCTTGTCACCAGGCACCCAGACCTGAGAAGGCCAGAGCCTTGGGGACCTCCAATATAACTCTCCCCAGTAGAGACAGGACCCAGACCCTGAAAAGCTAAGGGATCAGCCCTCAGCCACCCAGCCTGTGGGTGGCCAGCCAGGTCAGCACCCAGTCCTGCTCGGTTACCGCCTCCCTAACAGATGTCCCAGTCACCAGTGGTTCTCAGAGGGCTTGGAAACCCCAGGACAGAAGGCACACAAGACTCAAGATGACAACGTGCAGCCGGGTTGACACAGTTCTGGATTTTATCCACAGTCATACAATCACAACTTATATATATATATATTTGTATTTATATACCTTTAAATTACACAATCATGTACAAAACAGGTGCATTGCTGAGACCACAGCACTTCTTGGAGTTTCACAAGTGTCGGAACTAATGGAGTCAGGAAGCCTGGGGCGGCGGGCGGCGGGTGGCCCTGGCTCCTCGCAGAACCGGGCTGCTGAATGGTGGTTAACGGGGGACAAAACACATTACTTGCCGAGCCCCGCCAGGTTGGGCCCGTGCAGCATCGAGGGTGCGGGCAGGGGGCTACGGGAGGCCATGGGCACGGCAAGGGGTGTGGCCCCCAAGCTCGGTGTGGAGTGCCCTGACACCAGCACTGGCAGGTGGGGCTGGGCCCCCGGAACTCAGGGGGACTTCCAGGCAGGAGACCCTCCCATTCTGGGGTCCCGAGGAGCCTGGGGACCGAGTGGTCCCAGATGGGGCTGTGGAGGTGGCTGCTCAGAAGGGATGGGGCTTTCAGTCCCTGCCCTAGAGCGGGCAGTTAGAGTGCTGAGAGGAACAGGCCTGGGGTCCAGCCAGGGCCGCAGCCCCTCCCCGGGTGCTGAGAAACTGCCGGCACAGAGAGGGGGAGCCCAGGCCCCAAGGTGCAGATGTGCCAGCTTCCCGCCATTCCAGGGTAAGCAGTGAGGGGCAGAGGCCCCCAAGCCAACTCCTGCGTGGGGAGAGGCTTTTGTTCTGGAGGTGACACGACTGCAGGCTTCCAAAACCTTGCCTCAGGCTCTGAGGAGCCCAGGGCACATCTCAGGCTGCAGCCGAGGCCCAGAGACCAGACAGTGACAGGGAAGGGGGTGCTGGTGGCAGGGAGGAGGTTTGCCTGTTCCTGGGGTGCCACCGCCCCAGCCCTGAGGGAGAACTGTCCCAGTTCAGGCCCCTGCCAGAGTGTGAGGGTCCTCTGTGCCCACAGGAAGGTCAGAGCCTTGAGGCTGGAGTCTACTAGCTCCTAACAGTGGGCGGTTGGGAAAAGCAGCAGGAGCAAAGGAGGACAGAGGGGTGACAAAGGGGTTGGGGAAGCACGCTCTCTTTACCTGGAAGCCAAGTGATACGGGAGGGAGGAGGCCATCTGCAGTCCAGAGGCCTAGAAGTGGCATCTGCCATAAGCAAGTCTCACCTGGTGCTGCACGACTTCCAGTTCCTCGCCCCAGAGGTCCCCAGGCGACTTCTTTCCCAGCTCTGCCACCTCTGAGGGTCTTGTCCAAGCCTAGTCTGCTTCCCAAGCACCCTGCCACTTCTATGGGGGAGACTGGTACCTAGCACTCAGGCACTACTGCTTTCTTTTTTCTTTTTTTTTGAGTTGGAGTCTCACTCCGTCGCCCAGACTGGAGTGCAGTGGCCGCTCCAGGCCACCGCAGCCTCGACCTGCTGGGCTCCAGTAATCCTTCTGCCTCAGCCTTCCAAATAGCTGGAACTACAGGCGTGCACTACCACGCTCAGCTAATTTTTGATTTATTGTAAAGATGAGGTCTCGCCAAGTTGCCCAGGCGGGTCTCGAACCCGCAGGCTCAGGCAATCCACTCACCTCAGCTACTGCTTTCACCAACCAGACGGCAGGTTCTTTCTTCACACCCACCCCAAAAGCCTTTTAACTGTGACCCAGGCCTGGTGTGACGGAAGAGCTGCCAGCAGGGGCAACGTTGTTCTAAGGGCTGCAGGGACAAGGACGAAAGACGCAGTGACTATCCTGCTCCTGGGAGCCAGGGCTCCTCCTTCCTGCCAAACTCAGCTGCAGGCTTTTCCCTGATGGTCCCAGGCTGGAAGGTCCCACGAGCCCCACAGTGTTTCCCCAGGAGGCCAGAGAGAGAGAGAGAGACAGGGATGGTGAGGCCAAGTGCCGTGCAGTACAAGGTTTGGTCTCGTGGAAGCTGATGCTGAGACCAGCGATTCCATGGTTTTGGATAGACATGGAGGGTAGGTGGGTGGGCGGGTGGGCAAGACGCCCTCCTCCCCAGGAAATGAGAGGAGGCTGCTACTGTTGCTGGCTTTGCCATGGGTTTGGGGGTCCCCACTCCACGCCAGAAGACTTACGAGAGGGGGTGGGTTCTCTACAAGTTATTGAGGGAGTATGGCTCAATGCCCAAAGTACTGACAGCTGAACAGAAGGGCCCAAACAGGGTCTCGGTACCTCAGGTGGGCCTTGAGTTGGGAGGGCTGGCACAACATGGGCTGAGCCTTCTCCTCCTTCATTCACCCTCCTGCACCCGTGGCACTGCCACTTCCTCCAGTTCACCCCTCTTCACATCTGGGGGAGTCTCGGGAAACCTCTATTGGGTAGGAGTGTGGCCATTCCTCCTCCAGCCCCTCGGTCCCAAGGGATGGGGCTAGAAGTAGGGCAGTTCCCAGGGCAGAGTGGAAGACTAAAGACTGGCAGGCCTCCCTTCTTGGGGTCTGGAGAGGAGGTCTTTGAGAGCAGGGGATGGTGGAAGGGGAATAGGGTACAGGAGGAAGAAAAGGTTAGGAAACCAGGCCCAGGGAACAGGGGCAGGGGCCTACAGCCTGGGGTGGCGTGGGATGGAGTAAGCCAGGGTAGAAGTGTCCGGGAGACAACCCTCAGGACTCAGGAGACTCTTTGGTGGAACCTGAAGAGCGGATGTTGTGATGTCGTGATGTCGGGCTAAATCCTAAGACCCTCGCTAAGACCCTCGCCTGCCCTGGGGCCATCATCCCAAGCTCTCCCACCCTGGCCTCCAGGTGGCCCTGCAAATGCTCTGTCTCTTTATTTTTTGTTTTGTTCTGTTTAGACTTTTAAAAAAATAAAAGCTTGATCGGAAAATATGTCTGGAACTCTATGGCGAGGGGAAGGAAACAAGAGTGGGAAGGGTGGGGAGAAGGTGGGCAAGGAGTGAAGGGAGTGTAGAGGAAGCCGGGCAGCTAGATGGCCTCCACGTAGTTGGCGGGGTAGAGGCCCAGCTGCCCGCTGTCCAGCCGCCCGCGGCACCAGCCCTGCTCATCCTCCTCGCCCAGCTTGGTGAGCTCGTCTCCTGAGAAGGGGACACAGGGAGCGACTCAGAGAGGAGACTGTCACTCCCGCGACACATCTGTTGCTAGGAAAACCCTCCAATGCCCCCTTCCCACTGCTGCCCAACGCTCCAACGCGGCTACTCGGTCTTAGGTTTTGGCCACAGGCCTCGCCCCTGGAGACCAGCCTCCGCCCACGTGCCCACCCTGGCGCAGAGGTCCTGTCTGCCTCAGCCCTTCACCTAATGCGGGTCTCGACCCCACCCACCACCCCCACATATTCTAGGTCCTGACTCCACCCCTTCAGGCCCAGCCTCATTCCCTAATCTAAATCTTTGCCCAGGACCCACCCATGCACCGGGCCCCGCCCCACCCCACGCCCTGCAAGCCCTGTCCTCAGACCCCGCCCCCGCCCCCCCCATCCAGACCCAACCCTCGGGCCTCGCCTCACCACCTACCCAATCCAAGCCCGAGCCTCTCACTGAGGTCCTGACACCACCCCTTCAGGCCTTGTTCTTAACCCCTAATCTAAACCTTGGTCGCAGGCCCTGCCCTCAGGCCACATCTACACGCCAGTCCCCACCCCACCACATTCCCCGGGCAAATCCTCGCAACCCCCGTCCTCAGGCTCCACCTCTGCGCCACCACACACCCAATCAGGCCCCACCCAGGCCCAAGTCTCGCTCTCAGGCCCCGCCCCGACCCCACCACACACCCAATCCAGGCCCCAGCCTCTCTCTCAGGCCCCACCCACACTGCCCAGTCCAAGCCCAAGTCCCTCCCCGGGCCCCGCCCCCACGCCGCCACACAACCAATCCAGGCCCCAGCCTGTCTCTCAGGCCCCACCCAACGCCCAATCCAAGCCCAAGCCCCGGCCGCAGAGACCGCCCCCACCCCGCCGCACACCCAATCCAGGCCCAAGCCTCGCTCTCCGGCCCGCCCCGCCGCGCACCCTCCCGCGGGCCTCGGCCGGGCGGCCCGCCGTACCGGCCTTGAAGCTGAGCTCGTCCTGTTCCTGGCCGTCGTAGTCGTAGAGCGCCCGCACGCGCACGCCCTTGGCGTCGTCC